CCCGTCTCCCGTGTCCCCCCCAGGCCCCCACTCCCTGAGATATTTCCTCACCACCGTGTCCCGGCCCGGCCGCGGGGAGCCCCGGTACCTGGAAGTCGGTTACGTGGACGACACGGAGTTCGTGCGGTTCGACAGCGACGCCGCGAATCCGAGGATGGAGCCGCGGTCGCCGTGGATGGAGCAGGAGATGCCGGGGTATTGGGACCGTGAGACGCGGAGGAACAAGGAAAATGCACAGATTTACAGAGTGAACCTGAAGACCCTGCGCGGCTACTACAACCAGAGCGAGGACGGTGAGCCCCGGGGCTCGGCCCCGTCACCACCCCCATCCCCACGGACAGCCCAGGTCGCCCCGAGTGTTGAGATCCGAGCTTCACCCCGAGGCTGCGGAACCGCCCTGCCCCCCACCCGGGAGGAGCCCGCGGGGACTTTAACCCGGTTTCACTTTCAGTTTTTCAGTCCCTGCGGGCCTGGCGGGGCGGGTGACTCCATGGCTTGGTCAGTGGGAGGGGCTGACTCGGGGGCGTGGTCAGGGTCTCACACCATCCAGAGGATGTACGGCTGTGACCTGGGACCGGACGGGCGCCTCCTCCGCGGGTATGATCAGCACGCCTACGACGGCGCCGACTACCTCGCCCTGAACGAGGACCTGCGCTCCTGGACCGCGGCCGACACCGCGGCTCAGATCTCCCGGCGCAAGTGGGAGGCGGACGGTTATGCGGAGAGACAGAGGAACTACCTGGAGGGCCGGTGCGTGGAGTGGCTGCGCCGTTACCTGGAGAAGGGGAAGGAGACCCTGCTGCGCACAGGTACAGGGCCCGCGGCGCCCTCCTCTCCCTCGGGTGGGGCTCCCGCGAGGAGACGGGAAATGGGGTCCGTGTCAGACACCCCTGCTTTAGGTGCAGGGATGGAGTCCCCGGGACTTTGAGGTCAGGGACCAGAGAGTGACCCCCGCCCTCCTCTCAGGGACAGTTAGGGTGCAGTCTCCGGGGGTGCAGGGGAGACCACCCCTGAAACAGGCGCTCAGCGGTTCCCATGGACCCTGGGGTGGCTCTGGGCCCCAGGGGGCCTTTCTCTCGGGCCTGTTCCCTGCCCCACACCCCCTGTCTGAGGTCTGAGCCCCGCTGCTCTGAGTCCTTGGCCTCCCCCCAGGTCAGGACCAGAAATGCCTTTTCTGCCCCCAGAGACCTGCCTCCCTCCCGCCCTGGGCTGTGCTGCTCTGACCCTGGAAGTTCCTAAGAGACCAATAGGTCATCCCCCTGCCTCTGTCCAGGCTGGTGTCTGGGTTGTGTCCCTTCCCCCACCCCAGTGTCCTGTCCCTTCTCAGGATGGTCACCTGAGCCCTGCTGGAGGGTCCCAGGGTGGAAGCAAAGTTCCTGAATCTTCTCCCCCTTCCCTCAGACCCTCCAAAGACACACGTGACCCGCCACCCCATCTCTGAGCATGAGGTCACCCTGAGGTGCTGGGCCCTGGGCTTCTACCCTGCGGACATCAGCCTGACCTGGCAGCGAGACGGGCAGGACCAGACCCAGGACATGGAGTTTGTGGAGACCAGGCCCTCGGGGGACGGGACCTTCCAGAAGTGGGCGTCCCTGGGGGTGCCCCCTGGAGAGGAGCAGAGATACACCTGTGTTGTGCAGCACGAGGGGCTGCTGGGGCCCCAGAGCCTGAGATGGGGTGAGGAGGGGACGTGGGCACAGAGCCTCTTCCCAGGGAAGCAGGGGCCTCTGGGGGCTCCAGTGGGCTCAGGGCTGAGGCCTGGGGGTCGGGGCCTCACCCTCCCTTCCCCTCTCTTCCCAGAGCCTCCCTCTCAGACCCCCTTCATCATCATGGGCGCTGTTGTTGGCCTGGTTGTCCTCGGAGCTGTGGTGGCTGGAGCTGTGGTGGCTGGAGCTGTGATGTGGGCGAGGAGGCGCTCAGGTGGGGAAGGGGGGGTGTGAGTTTCGTGTCCCCCTGGGGTGTCATCCCAGGGAGACGTGTGTCCTGCTTCAGTCATGGGAAGCACCATCCCCAGGCCTGGGATTGCCAGTGTGAGGTCTGTGTGCTGACCTCCTGTTTAGTGAGGCAGGTGTGACACTGAGGGACACATGTGTCACCTGATGGTCCTAGTGATGGGGACCCGCCCCCAGCAGTCCCAGGTCAGAGGGCAGGTCCCTGCTGAGGACAGACCTGCAGGAGGGAGGTGGGTCCAGTCCCTGCACATGCACTTTCCTCAGGTCTCCTGACCCTGCCCTGGGTCTGTACAGACACAGGGTTCTGGAAACTTCTCTGGGCCCAGAACTAGGCTCCTTCAGGACCTCATGGCCCTGCCCCCTCCCTGGTCTCTCACGGGATGTTTTCTTCCCGCAGGTGGGAGAGGAGGGAGCTACGCTCAGGCTGCCAGTGAATATGGAGGGGGTGCCCCCTGAGACCCTGGGACAGTGCAGATGGGAGCCCATGGGGACCCTGCCACCCCATAGTCCCTCCTTTAGCCTCCTGTCCTGGGTCCCTGACCATGTCCTATTGTGTCCACCCCAGGCAGTGACAGCTCCCAGGGCTCTGATGTGTCTCTCTCGGCTTCTAAAGGTGAGACCCTGAATGGGGAGGGTTTGGGGCAGAGGGGACGGGACTGGGTTATGGGGACTCTCTGCACATTGTGAGCATGAAGTGGACCTTTGAGAATGTGACCAGTTAGAGCCACTGCCCTGAACTTGTTCCTGATGGTTTCCTTCCACAGCGGGAGGCAGCTGCCTGTGGGGACTGAGTGATGGAAGATTTGTTCAGGCTCCCACTTGGTGACTCAAGAACCTCAGATTGGGAGGCTGTCCCAGCCCTGCCCCCAGATACCCTCCCCACACTTCCCTGTCCAGCAGAGGTGGGGATGACCCCCCCCCACTTCGATTGCACTGATCTGCAGCTTCTTACTCCTGTATTGAAATGAGACCCCTCCCGGCCTGTGTCGCTCAGTGGTTGAATGCCTCCCGTCCACCAGGAGGTCTCTGGTTGATTCCCAGTCGGGCTCATCCCGGGGTGTTGGCTGGATCCCCAGTTGGGGGCATGAAGGACGCAGCCAATCAATGTTTCTCCCTCATCCGTGTTTCTGTCTCTCCCTGTCCTTTCCTCCATGAAATCTGTACAAACATTAAAGAAATCGAAGAAATAGGCTCTGGCTATGACTTTGTTGACTTCTTGCCATGAGGGCTGATGGGTAATTAGAGGAGAGGGTCCTAAAGTCTGAGAGGAAATACAGGGGAGCACCTAGGACTTTCCAGAAGCCCTGTGTGTGCTGTGCTGAGCCTGGGCAGGGGGACGGGAGAGGCTGTGAGGACCGAGTGAGGTCGGGGCCTGTGCCCAGTGGGCGCCCAGGGCCTCGTGGGCTTTGATGTGGTCACTGCCTGGCTGGGTCACCTCTCTGCGGCTTTGACCTTGTGCCTTCAGGGACACTTGTCCCACCAGGACCCGTGGTCACAGGGACTCACACATCCCAGGCCCTGTCACTCGTCCTCGTGAAGCTCATCTCCAGGACCCTGGACAGTGAGGCGGGTGGGGCCTGGTCAGCCTGGACTCAGGCCTGGGTCCCCCCTCAGCCCCATCTTCTGGGTGGTGATTGTGTCTTTGTTTTGTAGATATTATGCCTATTTTGGGAAAGAGATGAATTTCTACATTATCTTGCTACTATATTTCATTCATGTTTCTCCAATACACTGTCGTGTCACATAGGAAATAAGGTCGTTCTAATGAGTTGCTCCTCCTTAAACTTGCAGATTCTTTTTTATACAATTAACCACCCGTGAAGTTTGCTAATTGGATGGGTGGAGCCCTATTCCAAATGGTTAAAGCTACCATCCGCAGATGTGTCCCTTGGATTTTTAGTTTATCTTTGAAAAATATAAACAGGGACTTTGTTCCTGTCTGATTTTTTATCTCTTTTTTAGGGGCAGTTTGGTAATTAATATTCCATTAAAAATTAATGGTGTTAAAGGCTAGCTTTTGCAGTGTGTGTTGGACTCTCCATAAGGCTCTTATTTCTGCTGTCAGGAGCCAGTTATTTCTTACAGGGAATAAGAACGTTAGGAACGTGTAGGTTACCCTGTGCCCCCAGGATGGCCAGTGCTGTTCCTACGGCTCTGTTGTGAAAGCGTGTGACCCTCTTGTATGTCTCCCTTCAATAGGAAGAAGTTCCTTTAGCTTTATTGGGGTGCAGGTTCTCTAGGTGGTTTGCTTCTGTGTATATTTGTGTACAAATATCTTTATTTCACTTGTTCCTCCTTTTTCATTGTACAAAATACCTTTGTTTGACCATTTCTGCGGGGACGTTCTCCTGTATCTCTCTGCCCCTCCCAGCTGCAGGGAGTACCAGGGGCAGCTGACTCTCCCCTCCTCGGGCTGAGACCCACAGTGAGCTCTGGGCTCCGGCTCTGGCACCGTCTCAGCTCTCCCCACCTCCCTGGTTCACTCCCACTGGCCCTCCTTCAGGTGCTTCAATGTGTGGATCCCTCAGACGTGCCTGTGCATCGAGCAGGGAATTTTTGGTTGAATTACATAGCCCTTCAAATTGTTGAAACTTCAAGGGGAGAGACCAAGAGAGCCTGTCATGCTTCCATTCCCCTGACTTCACTCCAGGGGTGCAGCCTTGAGCAAGTGAAAGGGAGGGGACCCAGGGTCTGCCCTGAATGGGTGTCCCTATGAAAAACCTTCCCCAATTAGGGTGACATCTCCTCCATATTGCTCTTTCACATTTAATTACTGTCTTCTCCTTCCCGCCCCCCCCCAGGCCACGATGGAGGTGGCACAGCTACAGAGGCACACTGGTAGTGGGACAGCAGTCCCCTCGCATGCAGGGCAGTGAGGGAGGAAGGGCAAGGCAGACATGCTGTTACGTGTCTCAGTCACCACCAACCCTGGGAGGTGGGGGGGCAGGTGGGAAACCACAGGAAGAAGCTGGTGGGAAGTGGCAGGGACACGGGCCGCGTGGTTACGAGATCGGGAGCCCCGAGAACGTAGGTAAATGTTTGAACAAATAGTAAGCACATTGAGCATGTCGTCCAGGTTTCACACTGATGGGGAAATATTTCTAAGCACAGGAGAGGGAAGGGCTACAGTGGATCCCGGGCGTTGGCTGTCAAATCAAGGAGCGGCCAGCACCTCACAGCTCGCCGGCAGACGCAGAAAGGTGTTGCTCGTGTGAGCACGTGCCCACGGGTATTAAACCTGCAAGTTACGAGCTCTTCTTGCTGAGAGCTCCCAGGAGCAAGGACGAACTGGTAACAGTCCAATAGCCAATCTTGGTTCCCAACAAATAACCTCTACTTTAAAAATAACCACCATTCTTCGGGGAAATGCCAGGGCTGCCTGTAGACCAGTGCGAGACACTCCAGGCACCTGGCCTTCCTGCCTGCCCCGCCCTCGGGGGAACGGATTTTGTGGTTCTAGCTCTTGCAGCAAGTGGATCTGTAATTTTGTTTCCCGTTTTTCTGTGAAGCACGCACACGGGATGTGGAGGTAAAGGAGGGTCTCAGTTGCTCCTGGCCACTCCCTTGGTAGCCATCGCTCTTGTTTCTTGTAACTCGGCTTAGAATTTGGTCCCTCTCGCGCCACAGTAAAAATAAGCCCAGAGAGATGGGGCAGGAGGAAGACCTCACAGCTGGTGCGCACCCACTGGGTGCTGAGGGCTGATTTTCCTTCCCCTTGAAGGGGAGAAACGCCCTTGTCACTGGTGCATTGGAAATTCCCCTACAGGGAGGCACCGGTGTGGGACAAGTGCCACCCAGTACAGGGTGCTGGGAGAACCTGCGCTTTCAGACTCAGCAGGTCTGACACTGACTGTGAGCCACCGTCGGGCCTGCCTGGTGTTTCAAAGGAATATTGGGTGCTGCAAATAGGAACTGAAGGGGTAAACGCATTAAACCCATTAAACCTGTAGAAAGGGAAAAGATGTACTCACAGGGCTCTCAAGGGGACGAAAAAACTAATAATGTGATAAAATTCAGAACAACAGTTGATCAAATATAGTCAAGTGTTAACAGTTGGAGTATCTGGGAAACGGAGGAACTTATGTATATTTGGAGAGATTCCAAATCAACAATTTTCAAAATAAAAGTAATTTATGGGCATCGATTTATTCAATTTGTAAGATGAACTGAATTGTGTTAAATAGATTTTTGTGATTGGTCTCATTTTATTACCTTTTTTCAACTGTAAGCATGTTGTACAATTGTGTAAAAGAAACAGCGAGTGAAATAAAGATCGTTTTATGTAAGTACACACTGGAACAAGTCACCAAGGGAAACCTGCACTCAAAGGAAGCTAAAGAAAGTCCCTCGTACTAAAGAAATGCGTACACAAGAGGACAACACACTCACACACCAAAACTCCCATGGGCAGAATCGGCCACCTGTGGGCACCTGGTAACGTGGACTTTCACAGCATTCCTTGCTTTCTAAGAGAGAACTGGCTCACGGCAGCTAAAGCAACATCTACTGTGGGTAACAACAGGGAATGAAAACGTGCGGCACCCACTTCTGGGAGCGCGCGAGAACCTGCTCAGCTTTCTGTGAAAGGGGAGCCCTCGTGCCCGCGACACGGTCGGCGGCTGTCACTAGACGGCCGGGCTCTGCACATGCGCGTCGGAATGGCCACAGTCACCGCCAGTGAAGGTATGCTCGCACCAGCAACTGAAGTCAAATGTCAAAAATACGACTGCCACAGAAGGAAAAAGGAAATAAAAAACAAATGGGACAAAAAGAAAGCAAAGACCCCATTTCTATTTTTCAGTAATAAATGAAAATTCCCTTGACAAATCCGTAAATGACAGCCATGCTGTATTTTCAGGAGGGTCCACTGTATGAAAAAGCGTGTGTGCGCTGAAACGGAGCGGCTCATTGGAACAGCCCTAGGGTCTGCGACGGCACCTCCCGCAGCACAGGCCCGGCCCTTCGACGCCCTGCAGCCCCCGACTCTGGCCCGGCCTCGGTCTCGTCTCCCTCGCTCTCTGTTCCGTTCCCACACCTGCC